CCTTCAGGAAAAACCTCAATTTGTCCAATTTACGAAGTTTTTCATTTGTCCTTGCCGCATGCCACCTCTCGGGGTTCCAAACCCCATCCTCGAGGTGGGCCCTTGAGATTTTGTTGGGCCAGACCTGCGCGAGGGGTGAATCGCGCAGGGCCAATAGGACCGTCCTGTGGTACATGCGTTAGGACGCAAGTCCGGATGTATGCCATTCATTAAAGAGGCAGTAACATAGGTCCATTTCCACTTTTTATTCCTAATTTTAGCATATGCTGTAAACCCAATGTATGTTGGCTTGTAATCTGTGCTTAAACAATCTTTTGCTTGGTTGATGACCCCAGTGTGAATTATCCAAAGAGATTTGAAGCTGCTCTACTCTTTAACAATAGTTGATAATAAAGACTAACAGCACCTACGGTTGTGATGTTACGATATTTCCATCTTCCTGGCCATTTGTAACTGATTTTATGATGATTTCATAGAAGAAACAAATTGTGATATTTTACATGAGGCATAAAAACCTAAATAACCAAGTTCCATTTTTGATTGCAACTATACATTTCCTATAAAGCTGAACTTGATCATTAATGTTGTCTAAAAGCAATATGGAAGACTTGTTAGTGCCACATACAATTGCATCACCTCTTATCCACTTTTATATTCTTTTTGAGCCTCCCCAGTTTAGAGTTAGAACCGCAAAATCAGGGTCTGTAATAATAAAGCTGTTTTAAAAGCAAATGACAGATGTTTACTTTTGAATGCTAGAAGGGATGGGTGGAAGAGGCATGTCGTGACTGGAACCCCGGCGGCGTTCAGCAGGTATAGGTTTATCTGTGTTTGAAAAAGGATAGACAAGTCTGATTAGTTAGCTTCACAAATGAGTCCAGCTTTGGTGGAACTAATCCAACGTGAACTACAGCAAAGATTCTAGGCTCAGATGTTGATCTTGCATTTGCTGACATACAAGGTCAACAGTTGTTGCTGATTCATTCTATCCTCTACTTATTAAATATCTTGCTATATAAATAATACATGTACAGTACATTGATCATAGCAGGGTTATAAAATTATGCCAAATTTAAGTAAGCCACAGACACCTCTGGATTAAGATACTATGCAAATTGTGCCTATAATTGCTATAAGTTCAGGGGCAAGTTACTTAAAAAAACACCAACCTATTTCTGTTCAATGTGTAGATAATGATCTGATCATACATTGTAGTTAGTCATACTATCTAAGTACAGTTAACTGAATAAATCATAATTGGCTGGATTATGTGTGAATACATAATATCACAGTCTGCGAAATAAAGACTGGTAAACCAATTTTAGTTGACTTATCTGAGGTGTACCTTAATTTACATTCTGTTCATTAATTGTTAGAACAAAAGTACATATGTTATCTTTAGAAAACAACCATGCATACACAAAGACTGCAATCTTATTTAAACAGACATTTAGTATTTTGCAAGGACCGCAGTTCACCAAAAATTGGACTGTGATACACTAACAGGTTGGGAGTACAAATCCCACAATCCTTGCTCTCTGGGGCTAATAGAAGTTTGTCAAAGACTTATGCCTATTCTTAAATTAATTGTTAATTGTTTGTTGATTAATCTAACCTCCTTTTCTATACGATAAAGATGGGAATGAATTTTAGTGACTGTTTGAAGTTACATCACTGAAAAAAGTGACTTATGACCGTTTTCCACACTTACAGCCATTACAGCATCCCCATGGCCAGGTGATCAGAATTCAGACACTTGGCAACTGATTCATATTTATGACGGTTGCAGAGTCCTGGGATCGTGTGATCACCTTCTGCAACCTTCTGTCAAGCAAAGTCAGTGGGGAATCCAGATTCACTTAACAACTGTGTTATTAATTTAACAACTGCAGTGATTCGCTTGACAACTGAGGCAAGAAAATCATAAAATTGGGCAAAACTCACTTAACAAATGTCTCATTTAGCAACAGAAATTTTGGGCTCAGTTATGGTCCTGAGTTGAGGAACAGATGGAAGTTATAGCTACTGGCCTAGGTGAAAACGTTTTCTTTGTTCTTAAATTAAGAACATGAGGATAGCCCTCTGGATCAGGTCCAGGTCTGTCTAGCTGGCAAATGAATGGTCTTTTGTCCTTATTATTGGAATTAATATTAATATTTATTTGTAGAAAGACTTGTTTAGCTATTTTAGCCAATGCAGTACTTGCAACATCTCTCCACACTCTTAATATACCCGTCTTTCAACTCACTGCTTGTCTCTAATATTTCTTGGAAAAGTAAGTTATTGGTAAGGTAATTCATATGTTCTACCACTGCTACAATATTATTCGCCATAGGAAAAGTGGCAATCACCAATAAAATTAAAAGTTTTGAAAAAGGAAAAAAAAGCCATTTACCTTCAGCAATATTTAAGTGGTCTCTATCAGGTAAGCTTGGTTTCTAGAGTATAGAATTAAAGCAAATAAGCGTAAATGAGTTTTACTTATACACTTTTTTTTCTTAGACTTCTGATCAACGGAAAGAATGTCTGATGCAACATACCACAATATTAAGCATTTCCAATAACAGAATTCATTGTAATCCTCTTAGTGTAATATATATCTATCGTTTGACTACTAATGGAGATAGAAGAACCAAATACAGGGTACAAGAATAAGTGAGCATAAATTGCTGTTGCATTCTGCAGTATTGCTGAGTACTTGTTCTTCTGCAGAAGCAGTTAGTTTTACAGATAAACTCTTTTGCACTTATTAATGGGATAATAAAGATGATGATGTGGTAAGCAATCATATTGAAAAATTAGAATAACATCTCTCAATCTGATGTCTCCAGATGTGGTAGATCATCGATGTCCTTAAATCCCTAGTCAGCACAGTCAGTGTCTAGTTGAGCAACTGAAATGCAACGCATTCAGAGAGCACAGGGCTGGTTTAAAATACTATTTAATTTTGTGGATCGAAGGAATGTACAAGTCATTGGAATTGTTCATTTGGTTTGAAATGTTGACTCATTTTCATGTGAAACATTCTGATTTGTATTTCAAAACTTAGATTCAATTTCAAGCTGTCGCTCTAAATCAATTTGATTTAACTACACAAAAAGGGGTGGGGCTTCATTCAGGGCTGCTATCTTGACTGTTTGCTTTCCCTGACAAAGCAATTGAATTGTCAAATCAGTTTTAAAATTTGATTTTTTCTTGAATAAATTCAATCTGTATATTTTATGTAATCATCTTTGAATCATCTTTGGAAATTAAAACTCCGCATAGCTCTAGTAGGCTAAAGCATTTAGAATTATTGCTTTTGCTTTGTATTCTTGACAATAAAGTTTACTGAGTTTTATGTTCACTGTAGAAAATTATAGCTTGGGCACTAGGCAATTGTCTTATTAGCCATTGCATATTCATTAGGTTAGTAGTGGAATCCATTCTGAATCATAATGTGTGTCTTTCAAAACAAAATATAAATAGAAAACAATTTAAATTAAATGTTTGGCAATTGCCAATATCAAGGTAATAATTGATTCGCCAATATGAATACAAGCTAAATATACTGAAAAAGGTTTTTGTCCTGGTTACAGGAAAAGAATGTCAAAATTCATATTAAGGTAATACTTTTAACAGGCCAATACAAGGATATAAATATGCAAGCTTAAGAACTCTACACTAGATAGTGTAGTAACAAAAAATGATCCAATTAGGTTAGTATGTTTAACAATATGTAATCCTGAATATTAATCACAAAAATGGGAGATCAACCATGGGAAACAAGTATTACAACCAGTGCTTGTTTCTTCTTCCCAACACCTATTGGGATGGTTCTGCTGTAATTGATCCAAGTTTATACTAACTGACAACGATTAACAGGCATCGCTGGAGTCTGCTCCCAGCTTTCATCTGAAACTTTGGCTAAAATAGAACTGTGCCATTGCTTGCAAATTCTTTTTGCTCTGTCTAATTTCTTATCTACTTTGTTTCAAGTTGATAATGACTGCGTCTATTAAAAGTAATGCTTGTATATAGATTTTGGGTACATTATGACACCTTTGCTATGTCTGCTCATTTCGTATGCTTGAATCAGTGTTTATCACATGTAAACTTCCTATGACTCAGCACAGCAATTTTGCCAGAGGCTACATCTTAATATTTTATATACAGTTGAAAATTATCAAAATTTGTAATTTCCAATAATACAAAAAAAATTAAAGGTATAATATGATCAATTTAATTCAACAGAATGCAAAATGTTATATATATATATAAATAACATTTTGCATTTTGCATATACATAGTCCATATAAACAGATACATAGATTGAACAAGGTGTTGATATAATTAATTAATCATTTTGGGTTGCTTTTAGAATTATTCTTCAGTGTGACGATGTTAAAAGCAAAAACTCACCAGCGGTATTGCAGGATTCATTTGCTTTTTTCTACAGAAAAAACAAAGTATGGATGCAAGAGTATTATTAAGTTTCCATTTGCTTTGCAGTTTTCTTCCTAATTATCCCACTTATGAGCACTCAAGTTTGGATGCCTATATTTCTTTATGCAAGTCCTTTTTTTCCTGCACTCTAAATGAAAGTCTCTCATACTGCCTCCATACTGATACAATGCATGACAAAGTGAAGCTAGACAGCTCTGACAATCACACAATTTATAAACATGGTGTGTATCATTCTCACTGGTGCAATTTGTAGGAAAAGCATTAGGCTTGGATTCAAAGGTCCTTCAGGTAGTCCTTGACTTAAAACCAGTCATTTAGCAATTAACAGCACTGAAAAAACTGGTCCTCATATTTATGATGGCTGCAGCATCCCCACGGTCAAAATCTGGGGGCTTGACAACCTGCATATACATGAGGTGTCCCAAGGTCAGTACCGGTGATTGCCATTTATGATCTTCCCAGCTGGCTTCCAATGAAGCAAAGCCAATAGGGGAAGCCAGAATTGCTTATGACTGCATGATTCACTTTATAACCACAATGGCAAAAAAGGTTGTAAAACCTGTAAAATTATATAAGTCGAGGACTGCCTGTATAGTACATAGCACCATAGGAGCCCTGGTGGCATGCAGTATTGCAGGCTAACTTTGCTCACTGCCAGGAATTCGATCCTGACCAGCTCAGGGTTGACTCAGTGATCCATCCTTCCGAGGTCAGCAAAATGAGGACCCAGATTGTTGGGGGCAATATGCTGACTCTGAAAACCACTTAGAGAGGGCTGTAAAACACTGTAAAGTGGTATATAAGTCTAAGTGCTACTGCTATTACTATTTACATTTCTGGATCTCTCCAAACCATTTTCAAGTAGGTTCTGTCACTGTCTTTCCTTCTGGCAACCACAAAATCCTGAGAAGCAAAGAATGCTAGTCTCCCTTTCTTCAAGCAAGTAGTAATCTACAATAGTCAACTGAGCTGCTATCAGAGCAATAATGCTAGTTCCCAGAGTAAGAAAACTCCCCTTGCCTCTGTTTACACAGAAAAGGAATGACATGTCTGGTTAGCTAACTCCATCCCAGTGTTTGCCTGTTCTCCAAATAAGCCCAGCTGTTTTGGAATTTGAGCAATGCTTCTATTAGGCTGCCCACCTACCAAAGGATGACATTGTACAGTGAGGTGGCTCTGATATCAAATCAGTCCGAATGGCAGAAGTCAAGGAGTCCACAAATTTGTAACAGAAAGGACTGGGATTGCTGATACTAAAAAACATTAGACATGAAGAAACTCGAACTAAGCCCAGCTGGAAAGGGGTGAACAAATGCCCAGAATGGGTTAAAAAAGTCAAGATGGCAGCTGTGGCCACTGCTTTTTCAGGAGTGCTTAAAATATACAAAATGTTTCTTTACATCTATCCAATCTATCAGAGCAGTTAAGCACTTCAATAACACTGTGTATAAAATGATTACAATCCATAATATTGCTTCTGGTAAACAGTGCATTTAAGGATTACAAAAACTGGAACAGTTTCTATAGCGAGAAGGAATGATTTTTTAACACTTACGTGATCCTGGGAAATGGAGATGGAACATTAACAGAAGGAATTTTAAATTCTGCAGCACCATTGCTGCTATTATCTAAAAATCCAAACACAGTAGTTAGTTCAATGCATCAGTTGGTTAACAAAATGTTAAGTTTCTAAAGTTTAGACTACTGCTACTACTGCTTTGAATGTAAGAAAGCCACTGAAAATCAGAACTGTGCAAATCCACTAACCAAACTGTATGGGAAATATCAGGAATGAATCTCTTTTTTCATAGGATTTGCACAGTCCAGTTCAAAACACCTAAAACATTCAAACTTAACTCTCAAAGTTATTAAAACATCTTGAAAAGGTAACATACAATAAAATTTTGATTTTATAGACAAAGTGGGGAGAAGCTGTGTCTATTTAAGGCAAACAATTAAATTGCAGTTTACATAAACTACACAAACATTGTCTAGTGAAGCAGTTCAAATGCAATTTTTAATTGTTGTATACAAAGTCCACTGAATGGAGGCTCATAAAATCAAAGTTTTATCATTACCATCATACAGCATTTACTAGAAACAACTGGTGTATTGTCAATACACAGTTACAATTATGGATAAAAAATACAGAAACTTTCATGCATTTCATATTATTTTATCATTTCAAAACGGCTCCATTGCAGTACTTTAGCAATATTATTCCCTTAATATAGTAGGGAGAGGCAGAGGGAGAAAATGATTTGTCTAAGGCAGTGTTTCTCAACCTTGGCAACTTGAAGATATATGGACTTCAACACCCAAACTTCCTGGGAGTTGAAATCTACATATCTTCAAATTACCAAGGCTGAGAAACATCGATATAAGGTTATATTTGTGGAAAAGGTAAAATTTAAAGTAAAGATTCCACAATTGATATATTCTTACAGTATATGCTACATTAACCCAGCTTTTGAAGCTAACATGGAACTATGGTTCCCCTGATGTTGTTGAGTACAATTTTCATATGGTCATCTCTAACCACTGATCATGTTCATCAGGGTAGCTGAGAATTGTAGTTTAATAACATCAGATGGCCACAGGTTCCCCATCTGTTAAAAAATGTTATAGCAAAAATGAAAAGCTCAAACAATTCTTAGAAAATCTGAGTTTTATCTATCATCAAAATCAAGGCGCTTTGATAGACAGATGCAATGGCTTTGCTCCTGCACATTCATAAGAACACATGAAATGATAAAGTCAACATGAAACACTGCGTTTGGAACCAGCTTCTGTGCTCCCAGTCATCTTAGAAGTCCCTGCACATTTGGCTAAAGGCAGAATATTCTTACTTCCATCAGTTTGCACTCCAAGGACCTCTGGATCCTGAAATTAAAATAGTTTTCAGATTATTTAACAGTTATAGGCAAATTGTAATCCAGGAATTGTGATAACTTGTGTTGCAAAGGTACTTCTTTATTTTTATAATATGACTAAATGAAGATGTCATCATCAAATTAATTATAGTTCTACACAAAATCAATAAACAAACATCAATAAACAGCAGCATCAATATTTATTTGTATTCTGACTTTATTATTTTTACAAATAATTCAAGGTGGCAAACATATCCAGACCAAAAATTGTGGAGCACGCTTGTAGCCCAAAGTGCTTAGCACAGGATGTGATGATGGTGAACATATCCAAAACATCTTCCTCCTCCAATTTTCCCCACAACAACCAGCTTATTAAGGTGAGTTGGGCTGAGAGTGACAGGGCCCACAGGCACCCAGCTGCCTTTCATGGCTAAGGCAGGACTGGAACTCACAGTCTCCCGGTTTTTAGCCTGGTGCCTTAACCTAGACTAAACTGGTCTCATATTAAAATTATAACTTTTCTAATGTTGAGGTAGTTAATTGACCCAACTGCTCAGCACAATCCTTTCAGAAATTCTTGCACATTTATGGACTGTTTGCCATGAGCAAGTTGTGTGACCTAGCCCCATTTTTCATAATCCTTCCATGCCTTTGGAATCGATTTGATTACAAATTTGTAGCTTCCCAGTGAGTTCCATTAATTAGTCTTCCCTTGCCAAACTTGTTTCTTTAATTTTAATGCTGTGAGAAGCTTCTGCTGGCTCCCCATTATGATTCATTAGCTCCTTTCCTGCCCTGGATAGAGTCAACACATTACTCATCAGTTTTTCAACTACCCTGGAATATTCCTTCTCAGCCATATATAAGTCTACGAAGTTCAAGACAGGGAATCCTCTGAAATGTCTGATTCTAAGATGGGTGGGGAATTCTGGGAATTGAAGTCCGCTCATCTTAAGACTGTCAAGGTTGGGAAACCTTGTGATATACCTTCAGTGAGATATGATGAAAAGACCCATAGCATTAATCCGCAGAAAGATAAAATCGGAGGCCAATAACATTCTTAATTAAACTACTCTATATACAGTTGTAGGGAATGATACTTTTCAGAGTTTTTGACCTGAATTTAAAGAGCATTGCCCTCTGGGTAATAGCTTTACATTCTATAGAAAAAACAATGGTCATCTTGAAAAACATTTGTTTTATGAAGCACTGTGTTCGAATGGCACCAAAATAAAAAGCCCAATAATGAGCTTGGCCATACTGTCATCCAATCCCTATTTCAGAAACTTTTAAAACAGGATTTCTGGTTTCTATTTAACTCAGCATAAACACTGTAAACACAAATTTTGAAACATGGTTTTTTGTAGTTCTGAATTCCAGTTTCTATAAACCCTAAATGGCAGCCATTCCGGATCTGGACATAGGACATAACAGTCTGAGGAAGATGGCGATTAAGAAATATGAAGTATAAATAAATAAAAATAAATAAGACTCGGATAAAGAAGATTTGTATGCATATATCTAGGCATGAGAAAGAGGGGGCACTTTAATTATCCTGGAGTTTGAGTTGAATGTGTCATGGCTCCAAATATCTGTGGAACTTCACTGCTTCTATGTTATTTATTTATTAAGCAAATTTATATGGCTACCGAACTCACACAGAGGTGACTCTGGATGGCTTACAATATTAAAACTCTACAACATAAAAATCATACTACTTGCCCATCGGCCGTAGCCAATCAAATCAACTGCTTGATCATCTCCATCTCCATTCATGGTGTCCAGGCCTGCCGGCAAACCACATTTTCAAAGTCTTTCGGAAAAGGGGAGATTGTGTTCCATAGAGAAGAGGCCATCACCGAGAAGGCCTTTTTCATGATCCTACCAGATATGCATTTCTACCATATTGGAGCTGCAAAATACCCTGCCTTTCTGTTGTGATGGGCTAAGTGGATGTAATGGGGGAGAGGTAGTCCTTCAAACAGCCTGACCCCAGGCCACGTAAGGCTCTAAAGGTGATAACCAGGACCTTGAAATGTACCCAGAAATAGATTAGCAGCCAGTACAGCATCCGCAAAACTGGTGTTACATGCTTATGCAAAATTGTGTGGGCAGTTGCATTCTGAAACAACGGAAGCTTCTGGATATTTTTCAAGGGCAGCCCCATCTAGCATGCATTACAATAGTCCAGACTGTTCATATTGTATTATGAACTTGGATGTGAAATACTTACAGCTTTCGGTGAAGGGCGGTGCCTTGGAAGTGGTAAAATGTTTCTGGAAAACACAGATGATGTTTTAGGCTTTATTTTTCTCCTCTAAATAAAACTGCAATTATCTGTTTTAATGATCTAATGCAGACATGTCAAACTTGCAACGTCATGTGACGTTGAGCGACATATCGGAGCTTTTTCCCCATTGCCGGCAATGGGGTAGGCGTGGTTTCCTCGTGATGCATCCGGCCCGCAGGCCAGCAGTTTGACACCCCTGATCTAATGGCTTTTAGGGGTATTATCCCAGTGGGAGCTGAGCTGAGTTACCTAAAAAACAGATATATTAAATTCAGTTTCTAAACCTGATGACCCTCCAAGATGGATACATTCCATCTCCTACAATATAACTCTCATTATCATCAGCCATTACAGCACATTTTTATCTAGGGTTCATGAGAACCATAATCAATAGATCAGGCCCACAAAGTGTTCTACTTTTATTGTGTTTCAGAGAGCATGCAGACACTGCTATTTTTCCCAAAGCACAAATGTGCTTTCAGCTCTAGTGATACCCCACCAGTACTGAGGAAGTCCATGGACTGTATGCTGGATTGGTCTCCCAGTTAGATGAAGACCAATGCCAGATCAGTACAGCTTGTAAAGCCTAGGGAATTTTGATTCCTTACAGTAAATGTAGCAGTGTCTTATGGTAAATAGTTTATTTAGATTGGCTTCACGGATTCCAGTCTTTTTTTTAAAAAAAAATGTCCTATCTGTTCTTGAATGAGACCCAATTTAAACTTTAGGTACATGTGTGGCTGTATAAATATTTGACTCTTCCTAGTCAAAGGGGAACACTATTCACAAAACCACATTAAATGCTCAACGTGGATTATATTACTTAGCAACTTATAAAAACTTTTTTTTAAAACTGAAAACTAACCTGTCTGCTTTCAATGCATCTGGTGTGAATGATTCTTTAGGTATGTTGCGTTCATGAGAATGTCCTCCAGATGGTCTCAAAGCTGGCTTGGGAGGAAGTGGCTTGGATATCCTTATGGACAAAATATACAAACAGGCTTTTCACACAGGATGACTACATTTCCAAGTCATATTCCCCAGAGATGTTCTGTGTAGGTGGAGGAGTGGCAGAACCAGGGGCGGAGTTAAAAGAGGAATCAGCCTAGAGTAGGGGTATCAAACTGCCGGCCCATGGGCTGGATGCGTCACAGGGAAGCCACACCCACCCCAACTCTGGCAAGGGGAAAAAAGTCGCGATATGACACGACACATATCAACGCGATATGTCGTGACATCCCTGGCCTAGAGTCACTACATAGCCACAAATGGTCTAAGTCCAACCCCTCTTGAATTCTGTTAACCTTTATCTAGTGCCAAAATAGTGCTAACTGATAGTTGATTAGATTAATGTGAGGTGCGAAAGACCAAAGCCAGACATTAAGTTCCAGTTAAAGTAATGTATTGCTCATGCCTATGCACAGGATATTAGTCAACTAACAGTTAGCAATATTCTGGTGCTATATAGGGGTTAATGGAATTCAAGAGGGGTTATACTTAGTCCATTTGTGCCCACATAGTGACTCCAGGCAGAATTCCTCTTTTGACTCCACTCTTTCTCCTACATTCTGCCTCAGCCTCATACAGTTCTCCAAATATCAGTTGCTTGGGGATTATGTAGAATTAAAGTACATTATTTCAGTGTGCAGCTTATTATTCATATATTTAATATGATATGCACAGTGTGTAGATTGAGACATAGAAGCAGCACATGGAAAAAGCTGGGCTCATCATATTCAAATTCTAGCATAAATTGTCTCATGCCTGACCTCACATCAGCTATTTTGTGATACATCATTGCACTAAAATTCCACTGTGTCATAAACTTACAATTATCTATGTTACATTAAGACTTTTTTTAGGAGAAAATAAATTGAGGAAATAACCACTACTATGTAGCAACATTTACTTATAATTTCAGAGTGAGTAGTAAGTTACCTGGGTAATGGAGGTGATGACTTCTGTTGGAGAAAATGAATTAGATTACTATTCACAAATTGCATTAGGTTTTTAATTTTCTTAAGGAACATTTCCCCTAAAATGCCAGTTCTTGTCAATTTGTAGGAGATGCTGCAACAACTACTTCATATAACTTGAGATATAATGTCCCTTCTATAGTGAATTTCAAAAGCAGGTCAAATAAACACGTCAAAATTGCTGATCCAAGCCTTTGTTACTATTATTTTACTCTAGAAAACTAATAAACATCGTTAACATTTTTCTTTTAATTATTATTGCAAAATAAGTAAGATTTAAACTTGGTTGATATCAACATCTTTCCTTAGAAATGGATCTCATTGGTGCCATTTTGGGAAAAGAATTGAAAACTGTGTTTTGTGTTCTTGAACACTACCTATAAAATGCAATTTTGAACATATCCGTGATATTCCTGTACACTCATGTACTGCATGCACAGTTATTTCCCTCTTTCTGCTCTGAATCTTTCTTCTCTTCCTAGGATCTTCCTAAACAGGTGAGCCTTATATAGAGAGCATATATAGAGCGTATATAGCATCTTACCTCTTCTTCAGGAATTTCATATACATCTGCAGACAAGAGGATAAAAACAGAAATAAGCCATTTTTGTGCAAAACTAGGCACATGAATGACACAAAGATTTCATTTTTAGATTAACAGTGCAATCCTTTGTATAAAGTCTCCAAGTTTTCTGGTGATTTTATGAATGTGAATATAGATATGCTTTGCCTGTACCTTCTTCCAGTTAGGTTTTTTGATTTCCCAGTCTAACCCTAGATTTCCAAATTCCGACTAGATGCTGGGGCACTGAAAGAACACCCCAGAAGAAGACAAGGGCAATCACTTTTGCAACGCTACCAAGAAAATGTCTTCAATGCAGTCACCAGGAGTTGACTCAAAGGTAGTCTTTATTTCTTAAAGGAATAACTAGGAATTAAAATATTTTCATATCCAATGAAAATAATTTCTGAATAAACAGAAGAACTGCGGCCTTAAGAGATGGCTTTGAAGAAAATATTAGATACTTGCAGCTCATGCTAAAAATATAATTAACACTTTAGCTATACAGTGTTTATCTCTGTATCATTTCACTAAAGGCAGGATATCATGCATAAGCCTTATGCTTCTTTTCAACTCCTGCATTCAGCAGCATCTGAAGGGGAAAAGGCCCAAACCAGACAAGATTGTGGTCCCAGCAATGTGATTGAAGTCCTGCCCCTTTGTACATATGTATGGTAAAAGGGGAGGGGTTTTGTAGCCTGGTGCCTTATATACAGCAAATCTCCAGAGTTATGGGGAAGCATTCTTAAAACATATAACTCATTTCCCTTTGGAATCCTACTTTCCTTTAAGGGAATGTAATCAATTTGGTTGCCTAGAATTAAAACTAAATTTATTTCACAAACCACTAATTGCATCTTTGCATGATTTTGGGAAGATAAACGCAAAATTGTCATACCTAGTGTGCAAGGTGATGGTACAGAACAAGGAGGCTTGGTCGATCTGTTCACCACAGGTGCTAAAAATGATCAAAGCAAAGTATTAGAGATCTCTGAGAAAGTCAAAATCCAGAAACACAGTTGAGCCCCCCCAGCCCCCCACTGATCAATTACCTAAGGTTTTACTTTTGCTAATTTCATTGAAAATTCAGGTTGCTTTTTCAAAAGGATGAGTGATATACACATTTTTCTAATTTCTAATTGCACGTACCTCTTCCCAAATATATAAGGACGCAATTGGAAAAAATCCATGTTTCCAAAAGAGCAAAGGATCGTGCAATACCCTGGATGTAAGCGTGAAGGTGCTTTTAGGAATGCAGACATAGAAATGTGACCCCTTTCTGCAGTTCCTGAAAACAAGTGTACTTGTATGATCTCAGATACTAATGCATTTGTTTTGAAGGAGGTGCTATGAATTTCTCCTTGTGTTCCATGAAGCCCCCCCTTTTTTTAAACCTCTGAAGCACTGTAAACCCTAGAGCAAATTTGGCAACTTTAAGATCTGTGAACCTCAGGTCCCAGAATTCCTCACCAGCATGGGGAATTTTGGGATTTGAAGTCCACACATCTTAAAGTTGCCAAGTTTGAAAAACACTACCCTAGAGCATAATATATTATATACAGTACAATGAAAGTAGCATGTCTGCCAAGTCCCAAGAAGCTTCTTTTATAAAGGTGCCAGGAATTTAATTCTCACTGTTTTTATTTCTCATAGAAGCTATTTTTTTTACTTGACTCTAATTCTTTACCCAGTCTTCCATTCTCCCTTTTAAAGTCCTTCTCATCTCATAAGGAAAGGAAAACTTAATTTGAATACAAAACTCTGATAACAGGTTTTTTATATATATATATTTCACATATTTCAGTCAATGCCTTAGTCACATCCCTGGCTTTCTGAAGTTGCAAAGAAAATAATCCAAACCGTACGTTTTACAGGTTGTGAAGTGCTTTCTTCTGTGGGTTCTATATAATTATCTTCATCATCATCATCAACTGGTACAACATAATCTGCCTAAAAGAAAATGCAGCGATGATTTAATATTTGTGTGTTTAATATAAGGCAAACAAATGCATTCCTCTCCATGTTCAGTAGAGCTTTATGCGTGCCATAATTTTTCAACTTTAAAATAAATGGAACTTAATTGTGAACTGAATCACAGAATCGTTAAGTAAATCTGTCTTTCCTTATTGACTTTGCTTATTGGGAGATGGCTGGGAAGACGGCAAATGGCGATCACATGATCCTCAGACACAGCAACGGTTGTAAATTCACACTGGTTGTGAAGCACTCAAATTTTGACTACACGACCACGGGGGATGCTGCGATGCTTGAAAATGTGGGAAGTTAACCTTGGCTAACTTATATGAAGTTAGCTTCATATAAAGTTTATATGAAGTTAACCTCATGTAAAGAGAATCTGTACAAAATGTTTTACAGGTGGCATCTCTCCCCAACAAGATTGGCAAAGATGAGAAAAGATATATCACCACAATGTTGGAAGTGCAAGAAAATGTTAGGCACTTATTATCATATGTGGTGGACTTGTTCCAAAGCCAAAGAATTTTGGCGGCTAATAAAGACTTGCTTGGAGGAAATGTTGGGACTGAAGATAGATTCCAGACCAGAATTGTTTTTACTGGGAATGATAGATGGAACGTTTAACAAAGGAGAGACATATCTAGTGTTGCATATCATAACAGCAGCAAGGTTGGTGTATGCCCAGAACTGGAAAAACGGAAATTCCCCGGTGGAGAGCGAACTAATTAAATTTTTTTGATATGTGCAGAGATGGATAGATTATCCGTAGAAATTAAAGACAAGGATGAAACAGAGTATTACGAAGTTTGGGATAAGATGTACTATTGGTTAGACTCGAGGAGAAAAAGTCAGAACAGAGAAAGCTCGTCTAGAAGAGAGAAAGTGTAGATTTCTAACCTCAAAGTGAGTGTAAGATAATAATAATAATAATAATAATAATAATAATAATAATAATAATAATAATAATAATAATAATAATAATAATAATAATAATAATTGGAAGGGACCTCGGAGGTCATCTAGTCCAACCTCCTGCTCAGGCAGGAAACCCTATACCATTTCAGAATATGAAATAGGAATGGAAATGGAAGTTATGTTATAAATAGACGTAAATATGTATGTAAATATATAAATATGTAAATGGTATAAAAGATCAATGACTAGGAAGATATATGGTATATGGTATAGTATGTATGGCGAAATAACAGCCAGAAAAGTCACACTGTGTTCAACCTGTTTTTAAATGTTTACTTAATAAAATTTTTCTAAAATAAAAATAAAAATGTGAAGATCAGTTGTAAGCCGCTTTTTTCAATGTCATTGTAACCTGAATGGTTGCAAACCAAGGACTACCTATGTCGTGCTTGCAAGGAAGAAAGGGGGCAGCCTGTTATCTTCCTGGAGACACATGCAGAAATTATATAATGGTAATTTATGTTAAATTTTGATGTCTGCTTCCCTGCCTGTTTTGGAGCTCAGTTTAAATCTTAAATGGATGTGGAGGTAGAGGGAAAAAATGTATTCTAAAGATCTATCTGATTATATTGCACCAGAATCTTTTAACCTGGAATTTTATTAGAGGTTTTAGTTTTTTGCTTATTTGCAAAACATCAAGACAAAAATAAAACATATCTACTTAAAAAAAGAGGCCATACCAATAATAAAAACCAAAGTTAAGCAGGGAAAAAAAATCTAGGTAAACACACACACACACACACACACACACACACACACGTGTGTGTAAGTATATAACAATGGGTGATCTTAAAAAGAAATTCAAACAATTTAAAGACATATAATCAATATTTCTATTCAGAACATTTGTAAATATGAAGGTAATCCATTAGGAAAAAAAACATCACTGTAGTTTTTGGATCTCCTGCCCGCTAGGCAGCCTTCATGTGGGTTATCCTATATGCGAACTTCCTTCTCATAGGATTATTTTATCTATGGTTATTGTTGTAATGGTTTACAGAATGTTTTAATTCTTGGTTGTATTGTATGGAACCTAGAGTCATTTTAGGCAAGATGGGCAACCATATAAATTTGGCAAATAGCTGGAAATGGTGACCAGCACTGATTATATTTATGCTCAGCAATACAGTCCTTCAAAGATTCTTAATTTGTTAATGTTTTGGCCAAAGCAATTTCCCATGCTTTTAAATACCCTTATCCAACACAAGATGTACTTCAGTTGTTTAGCATAACAAACCTAGTAGCTGATGACAGCAAATGAATCAATTTCTTATGTGGCCTCAAAGTATTCAGATGGATTGATTGACTGTGTCTATAGACTGCCAATGAGGATGCAATCACGTCGTTCCAAAGCTTCAGTTTTGTGCTTCAAGTTACTTCTGAAATGCAGCCAGGATGGGAACCAGTTCGATATTGATTGGGAGACTGATCCAAAAGATGGTGTAATCACCAATGCAGGCCACCTGAGCCTTGTTTCCTTCCCCTTCCTAAAGAGGAACAGTACTTCTGGATAGATGGTCACGCTAACTTCAATGAGAGAATATGACCCTATAGATAGATAACGAACTGCCAAGCCATGTAGGGCTTTATAGGTTAATACTGGCATTTTAAAGTCCACCCAGAAGCTTATTGGTAACCAGGGTAGGTCATGGAGATCTGGTGTGACATGGTCAGCATAGGGTCAAGCCAAATACAACCTTTGAGCGATCTTAAAAGGCAGTCCCACATACAGCACGTTGCAATAGTCTAAGCAGGCAATGGCAAAAGCATGAATTACTGTAAACAAGATCCTCCCACCCCAGGTAAGGATGCAAAATATGGGCACAAGACATTCCCTTTCAAGAAGACAACTTGGTCTCAGAATGTTCTCTACTACTCTCTGTGGGATCCAAAGCCATTTCTGCTGATAAATAGAATGTTTAGAAATGGATGCTTTCTTTTGCAGCAGGTCTTTGTTTGGTTTTGTTTTTAAACTTTTTCAAAAATTAGGTGGAACAAAAGCAAGCATCTTGGGGCAGGCCTAGACTGCCTACTTTCGGTTTAGTTAAGCTGGTTGACTCAAGTAATTTGTCTTGCTATCTTCCAAATTATAAGTTACGTATAATTTAGTAGCTTTGCAACTGAAATCTCTTTTGATTCTCTGTGCCTGGTGTTCTCCATCTTTGTCAGCCTGCTTTGTCATTAGCACCAGCTTTAGGTATGACTAAATTTGCCATGCAGCCTCCTTTTACAGAAGGAGCCCCCCCCCAAAAAAGGAATATAAATGTCCCATACAAAAACAGCAAGAGCAGATTTCTTCTGCCTGTTCTGTCTCTGTCAGTGTAATAAAAATGGGAAGCGTCACCTCGTTGTCCATTGGCTTGGGTGGGAGTCTGGGCTTCTGAACAGCAGATGGCGGTACGGGTAAAGTGGCTGGTTTCTTTGATAGAGATGAAGATTGGTTTGGCGGAATAGGTGGGGGCCAAGTCTTCTGTTGGCTAGATCGTTTGTCATCTGTGAATGGCAGAAGAAAAAAAAAAGTATAATTAAAAGAAATAATATTAAGGGCATTCCCGTCCATTTTCATGCAGCAAGAGAACATCTATATCAAATTAAATGGTTATATGCAATATCAGAGCAAGTTTATTTCTTCACAGTACTTGACCCTACACTAAAACAGCTCATTTTCAATCAGTTTGTGGGCGGTTTATTCTTCCATTTGCTGGAACACTGATCTTATATTGCTGAAACTTTCTGGCTCCATGACTTCAGCTCTGCCAACAGGAAGATTGGTTCAACAGCTGGGACTTTTGTTTGTTATTTGGTACATGACATGCAAGATGAGATGAGGACACAGATGGTCGTTGGGTGAAATGAAATCAAAAGTTTTTACTTTCTTTGGAATGGGGCTGATAGGATTTTTCATGCTATAGTTTGGAGAAGTAATTGATGTTGGTGGCTTTGAAGATGATCAAACTGTTTTTTTTTCCAGGTTTGGGAAATGGAAATTGTGGTCTCTATCTCTGAGATTAGTTTCCTTAAGGATGAAATTAGTTTCCTTAAGGATGTTAAATGAGATTAGTTTCCTTAAGGATGTTAAATACATTGAGTTTCCTACTCTTTTGCACCTGCAATTTGACTTAAGAACATCGGATTATTCAAGACATCTAATTATCACCACAGCCAAACTCCATCAAATACCACTTACATTGCTTGATTTAGACAATGGGTAGCACACTTTGACAAAGCTGCCCAGAAAGTTTGACACTGATCTTAAGTTATCCTTGTGATGCTAAAAAAGCACAAGTTACTTTGCTGGAACTATAATATACTATCAGCTACAGACATTGTTTGACATTGGATGTTGTAATGATTCTTCCAAATAACAAAATGTGATTTATAAATATCTGACTTAGGCTGGTCAATTTTAATTAAATCATGCTGCTGAAAGAATAAATTTTTAAAACATATTCCATAAAATAAGTGGAATATATTAAATGCATATCAGAATATATCTTAGTTTTAATTATGATTAAGAGATGTTTCATCTCTTAACAGTAAGTACCAAAGGTCCAATACTTAATGATCACCTTAAATCTACTTGTGTCATTGAAAAAGCAGTCATATCATCGGCTTTTACTGAATCTTTGATAGATTGGAATTAGAAAAAAACAACAACTGGAAAATACTGTTAGTTTCTATTATGTTGTTTAAAGATAAGGTGAACAAAAAGGAGCCAAAAAGGATTCTGACTCGGTTTATTTTGCACTGAGATTTTCCCAGGCAACCAATCACTGAAGCCAACCTGAACCTATAATTCAAACTGAACTTCAGTCAGAACTGAAGAAGCTTCTTGGATGAGAAGTGAAACGTCTTCAAGGAAAAACAAAGAAAGTCCAGTTGCCTCTTGAAAAAGCACCTTTGGGACAACCATGACCTGGAGGAGTGAGAATTGTCATAGCCATAATTCAATAGTTTAATATAGCAATTTGGATAAAATGAATTCAGTCATTTAGATAAAAACAGTTTCATTAACAATATTCGAGGTTCATTAACAATATTGAAGTGCACCATCCAAAACCATCTTAAGCATTTCAGAAAAAAGCAAATTATGATTAGTTTTATTTTAATAAATAGTCCTCAAGGGTAATTGTATCTTTGGGAACACTGTATTTGGTTTGAGACTAGATCTATTTGGCTGGAGCAAAACTAAAGCTTAGCATTGAAGTGATCATTTTCTCCCCAGGTTAGGGGCCTTATCTCCCCCCCACCCAACTAGCTGAAATGGTATCTTCATTATGGTAGTAACACCACATCAAGGATGGGATGTAAATTCTGGAATGTCTTTAACTGGTTTTTTTGGTGGAGATATAGGGTGGGAATGAGAAAGAAAGCCTCTCTCTTTGGAAACTAACCAAAGAGAGAAGCAACCTGGAACTAAGGAGAAACTTCCTGACAGTTAGAACAATTAACCAGTGGAACAACCTGCCTCCAGAAGCGGTGAATGCTCCAACACTGGAAGTTTTTAAGAAGAGACTGGACAGCCATTTGTCTGAAATGGTATAGGGTTTCCTGCCTGAGCAGGGGGTTGGACTAGATGACC